CTACTATTAGTTAGTTCTCTTGCAGTTTCTTCGTTCGATTTTTTTAAGGCCTACTTTGTGCCTTGAAAAATAACAGGAAATGACAAGCTTTCATCCGATATATTTTTTTCACTAATATAATGTCAAAAATTACTGTAACGTAAATTTCACGATTAAATAAGACTTCCGAAAGAGGAAATCAGGAAATTTCGAAAGAAATCCACTCACAGACTCGGATTGAGTAGCGATGCCTAAGGAGGTGTCCGTATTTCCGTAGCTATAACGCACATAGGGATACCTGAAGCAGTATAGAGTTGGGTAGAAGCTCGTAATGGATGCCGATCGCAGGCATTTAGTCAAAATATTCGTACTGTAGTTCTGAATATGTACCTGTCAGTAAAATGCGGTGTACTCATTTGTACTCCAACATTGTGTAGTGGTGGCGTTCTGGTCAGTACTGATGCAGCCAATGAACGACCGAACAACGATGACCCTCAAACGATCCGATGAATAACACAATTTTAATTTTTTCTCTTTCTTGCTACCCTTTTAAAAAATCTATTGATCTGGGATTTCTTTCGCTTTTCACTCACTGATTCCCATGCGGTGATTGCGTGGGCGCCGTGATACGTCAGCCAGCTTTCCGCGAAATAACACTTCTTTAGTGATGGTGTGAGCCCCGCCGAAATTCATACGGCAGCCGAGTGAGCTGAGCCAAGCCGGGCCGTTTGTTGTGTAAAGCGAAAAAATAGCACGTTGGTGGCGGCAGCATCATGTAGGTGATGGAACGAAAATCGATTTTCACGACTAACCGATGTTGGCTATTGAACGAACACGAACTCCCTTTGTAATGCTGCTAACACAATTTTGTATCTAATTCTTTACTAAATGAACATCTACAACCCATATCGACCAGAAGAAATACACCGCATATTCAACAGGAGGCTGTCAAATTACTATTATTTTTACATTCTTGGCTAAATATACAATACAGATAGAGTTCTGCAAATTTACAGAATAGACAAGATGGTTTACTGTATGCTACAAGGTACCATTCTCCATCTAGAATGTCAATTACAAAGTAAGCTTGGCTCATTTCGATTCGGAAAAGCTAGAGCGCAGGCACCCAGAGTCAAACGTCAGGGACGCAGAATGCGCACGTAAACGGTAACAATACTCTGAGCAGGGTAAAGCCGTCCGTTGTTCCAATTTCCAAAAAATGTGATACCCTCTCCCCACTTTTAGAGGGAGTCTCAGTACGATCCCGTCCCCTCCTACCACCATCGGCCTTAGAAGGGTCCCCAATATGACCCCCGTCCCCACCCCGACCACTGCAATCACCCCATGGCTATTACTATAGGGGTTATACATGGCTAAAGAACCGGGAAACGTTCTCTCAAGCGTGACCCCTTTTCGCCATCACGACCCTTCATCCTCTATAATTCGACCACCATTTTCTACCTTCTTCCCTTCAAAGATCCCCCAGAAAACTCAAGTGCGCCCCTCCAAAATATCGAGGAACCCCTCCCCCTGCTAAGGCACGGTTGACCCTGACTCTGGGACCTCGCCGGCGAATTTTTAAATCTTTCAGAAGCCATTCAATAACCTAAGCCCCAAAATTTGAGAACGCAGCAGAGCAATTCAGGGTGATTTTCAAATTACTAAAAGCTGATGAGTTGAAGTGACTGGCAGGTAAGCTCTATCCCCCTTCTGGGTAACAACTTTACACCGAGCGCTCACAATTAGCCCATAAAGCTCAACAATAAATAATTCTAAGGCAAGTCTTCTCCTTGACTATAGTTCTAGCCTTTACACTAAAGCAAGTAGAAAGCGACAGTGAAAGGGTTTCGACCTGATTTTTACGCCATCCAAATTATTAATAGAAGTCCAATAGCGCCAAGAAAAACCGAAGCAGCTGTGTAGACAGTGTGCAATTCGCTAGCATCAAACAGACCCGTACCACATCTACTCAGACTTCTGGCCATGTAGCCGCCACCGTATCCATAAGATGGAGGTCGAGTGAATCGCGAAGTCGATGAACTGTAGGCTAGTCCTGATCCAGATCCAGAATACGAGTTTGACCTGCAATGTGGAAGGTAACGCACCGCTCGATGATGAGGAAAAGATGTCTGATATCTGCAATTTTCATTTTGCTTGGTTCTTTTCCTCCGTCGCAGTTGGCGACATACCTGCGCTTTCAAAGAGATGACGTGATGTGCCGACTAACTGGTTCATCAGGTCGGTGAGTTCTTGTGCTTGGTTTACCAGTAACCAGATAACTAAAAACCGCTGAGGTCCGTTAAAATCACTCTGCGCGCCGTTCGTTTGGGAAGAGTTTGCGCTTTTCTCTCTATTACTAGGAAGCTCTTGATATGAAGAAATGCAAAATACAGCAAGGAGTTGGGATCAGTCAGTAGTGTTTAGCCTCATCTCTTATGGGTGGACCTATTGGTACAAATTTTTCCGTTATGGATATAGCCTTCAATCACGGCATGTTCACGGCCTTCAAGGTAGATTGAGGCCCTTCTGGTGGAACTTCTATCTGAACGCTAGATTGGCGATGGAAACTCAGCAGTAAAAGTGATTAGCACATGGCAATGGGCACCTTTGCAAAATGCCTTCGTTATTTCTGCGCCGTTTTGTTTTTTACTCCCCCCTCCGACCTGCCCGACCTGGAGCTTTTCTTTCTGTCCCGCATGATACTACCGCAATCGCTTTCCTATTGGGGCCGTACGCATAAGGAAAAAGTCGCATTTGTAGTCACAATGGTCCGAATTGTGAAAATAAGGTTATCTCTGACAAAGGTGCACGGATCTCCTTTGAAGGATGGCCTTAACCAGTCTCAATGTAACCGGGTTCACCCAGCGATCGCTCTGTAACGACTGGCCACTAGCTTTTCTGCTGAGAGTACTATATGGGAGAGGTTCTGCCTTATTTGTGAATGGACTGCAAATCCAAATTCATCAAATCGATCAAAGTCGTATATTGAGAGTGACAGCGAAAGAATTTGAAGGTCAGTAATTTGCTCTGCAACGCTCTCTGATTGAGACTTCCGAAGTACCGTGAAGACATTGATTTTCCGGCAGTACCCTTGATCTGCTAGTTTTGCACTCCATAAGTACCCACACCAGCAAGGGATGCTAGTCGCAATGCTATCAAAGAATTTCTTAGTAAATCGCTGAGACTAGCTGATGCAGGAGCTTAATAAATAAAAAGCCATACTGAAAGGTTTCAGGATAGCTCTAGCGCAAGCTTTCCTTTTCACTGAAAATCGCCATGGGAATAAGCATCGTTCAGTAGTCGGAAATAGGTTTCAACAATATTCAGGTAAGTTGTTGTTTATAATACTTGGCATTACATTCTGAGGAGAGGCGCGAGGGGTGACGTACATCGGGCTTCGTGATCTTGTGATAGTGAAATATAGCTATTGAGGTGATAACTCGGCGGAGCTTCAGTAGTCATTGTCGTACGTCTGAATTAAGTACTTAGTGGATGGAACTCCAAACGAAGGAATGGAGTTGTGGCCGAACGGATGACGCCGGCAAAGAGCGAAGGAGACGAGACGACGTTGAATGTGTGGTGAGGTTTTTTGATTGAGTAATCGAAACAGATGCTGAGGGCGGTGCCGCCCACAAATCACTCAGCAAACTAGCACGAAACGAAGGGATATCTTGGTCGGTCCTGCGGAAATATTCGAAGATTTTGTTTCCGGTACAACAGCCGACCAAAGATCTCTCAAGCTGCTTTTCTGTCTGGAATACTTTAGACATACAAAAAAAATCAGCCAGAGAGCACCGTCTTTTCTATATCTTTGATAACTACGCTTGAAGCAATGCTGCTCGATAAATCTAGCGATGAACCGAACCATAGTGTGCCTAAGGCGCAAGTTATCTTCACTTATGGTTGCATGGGCGGAAGTGGCGTAGTAGCAAATGGTGCTGCTTCCCACGTGCGTGGTCTGGGGATCAAATCCTTGGAGAGTGCATCGTCCAGGCCAACCAAGCCTTCCTTTCCTCAGGGGTTGGATCAGCACCACACGTGCGAGAACAAAACCCTGTTGTGCATCGGCTGTCCGCACAAAATACTGTATAGGCGAAATCGCCTTAAAGGAATCTTCCACGGACCATGGACCAGTGGGCGGGACCGGAAGTTTTTGTGACGAAATGCATGGTAGGTACGGATCCACGTGTCGAACGCACGAACGTGAACAGGATTCACTTCAAACCTTCCCATGAACGTGGATCCGTACCTACCATGCATTTCGTCGCAAAACCACTTCCGGTCCCGCCCACTGGTCCATGGTCCGTGGAAGATTCCTTTAAGATGCCGCTACGATTGTGAATGGAAGTAGAACGCGTGGCGCATCCCAAAACGGGATTGATCGACGCTGAATGCTTCATCTTTATCATTTTATCCATAGTTTGCCTAATTACGAACGAGGAGGTGGTATTCGATAAGAGTGCGCTTCCTCAATGATCCCTCTGGCACATAGCCCGCTCTGCGCCATCCCACGCCATTGCCTACCCCGTGACTCACAAAGTTGAGCCAGCGATTTGTCGGGACAAAAGCCGATTGCAACTGTACAAAATGGCTTTTACGGTGATTTGGGTTAGACTTTTCAGTAAATCAAATCGGAGACCTCTCTTTATGTTTAGGCGCACAGATTTAAAGACAGGATGCTACCGTAGTGGGGTCAGGACTAGGGTGGAACTTACACTACTAGAACACCTTTTGCCGCAACATATTTGGAATCAAACCGACTGTTTTTAAGGCCGTATCTACCAGAGAAGAGGACAATGAGCACTAGATCATGGTTCACGTAGAATCTTTGTACGAAGCATAGTAAGCATACCTAAGCAGAGTTTCACGGAGTAATTATGAAGTATGAAAAAATGAAGTAAATACAAAGTAATCATGAAGTACAGTAAGTAAATGGCTGAAGCAGTTATGAAGCAGAGAGTTGGTTTCATGCGAGAATGCATGAAAAGACTGGTTTTCTGAGAAGAGTTCTGTGCAAAGCACATAAACGACGACAATGGCTGAGTTTTCAGTTGAGCATCGTAGAATGGCCTGGCATGTTACAACGACACACGGCCGACACGGAAAACCCCGTTACATAGCAAAAATCCGCCGATGACACTTTTTCTTATAGTAACTATGACTCCGACGAAAATATGCATTACAAGTTATAGTATTACAAATTTTATAGGCATTAACTATTTATAGACTTGGGTATGAAGAATGTCAGAAAAATGTAACTTTTGGATCCGTATAGTAGAGGAAACAGAAAAATGGTGAAAATCGGCCCGGTGCATTATCCACTACTCATTTTTTTTGAACTATTCTCTTTTGGTACACCATCCCATGACTTTACTCGAAATATACCGCCAAAAAAACGTTAACTTCCTTATTCACTAAATCTGTTCGTCACATTTTTCTCTGCATAAAAATGTGTGAATTGAATAGTTCCTTTTCCGCAACACTTGACCAGTTCTTCATCTTATTTAGTGACTTCGCATATTCCTTTCTTTCGCTGGGGAATGCTAATATACCGGATGATCATATTTCCCTTTTCGATTCTCCGTGATTCCGTGATGGAGATGGCGGTCAGCTTTATGAGGTGTCTCCATCTTACAATGTTAACCACTGGAATCGTCATAGGCACATTTCTGCTCCAGTCCTTGGTTCGTTCTAGATTTAGCACAATTCAACATCCGAGTGTGTATCTAGGTTGAACCGAGCAAACTACAAATTCACAAAACCGAGCGAGAAGTGTGGCTTTGGATAGTCAATTTCAGCTGACCAGACACCAAAAAATATCCGCATCTGTTCGAGGAATCGGGGAGCACGTGGCGCTGGTGGAACTAACAGAGGACCTCAATACGACGAATTGTTCCAACAAACGACCACATAAAGGAGTTCCATCGTAACAACCTGTACGGCAGAACAACAACATCTGCTCTCATTCTTATTCATGAGCTTCAGCTAAGCACGAGAGATAGATCGTAACTTGCTTTTATCCCAAAATTTTACACCCGAGGATGAGTATTGCACAGCGTCACTAAAAAAAAACGCAAAAAAACTGTCTCTCTGATGTGTAATAACCCTGCAAATCTCATCAAACTGTCTCCTTGCGTTGGATAACGAGCCGCGCAGTAGACGCTCGCGTGGTGAGGACCACAACTACCTTAACGGCAGCTCACAGCCTCATCCCCTTTTCGTGATACTAGATGTCACGCATGAAGAAGGAAGTTGTGCACAGTCTGACTACAACTCAGGACACATTTGTTGCTGCAGTATGCCTGGCCTTGCGTGGGACAGCTGCGCCTGACGTATAAGTCCCGCACACCATTGTGTCTCCACCCATCCCCAATTTCCTTCTCCATTTCTCGTATTTCTCCTTTCCTAAGAATACAGTAACAATCATCTGATATTTTATACGTAATTGAACGATTTTTGTTAGTAACACCAAAAGTTGACTTTAGATTTCAATATTGTTATATGCACTTTTTCAAAATTCATTTAGGGGTGGAAATCATAGAGTATCAATCTTATAGAACAATCTCAATGTAAAAAAATCAATCTTGTAGGACAAACCTTAACAAAGCGGCAAACGTCGTAGTTCACTGAGTGGGTAGATGTGCTATGCTTTATCTAAGATTTCCTATGCTTTCCAAAATATTTCCTTCGACCAATTTTTATGTTGAAGCTCCAACACAACACCTCTAGATAACTACTACGCATTGAGCGATGCTAAAATCATTTTGTCGCACCCATATTTTGTGCTTTTATCGTCCAAAATCCACTGATTTGAGATGAGTTGGTCTCGCCTATGAAATTGAGTCTATCCCACCGGGTGAAAAAAGTCTCAATGCACGCTGTCGTCAACGTGTTGGACCCTTCATAGACATACCTAAATCCAAAAAGTACGTCTACCAAAATCCCGGCTATATCAATGGATACCGTGCAGCATTCCTTGACAGTAACGTAATGTATCCCAAAGTTATAGGCATATACAAATGGTCGGCACTATTTACCCTTCACTGCCCCACTCCACAAGAACTGAGCGAGATTTTGATCGAGATTCATCCATGATTGAGGATTTGGCTACAAAATTGTTTTCGGGGTCTTCTGA